AGGATACCCTAACGTTTGGTTTTTCAAGCCCCCATGGAGATTCTCTAGTTTATCAGCGAGGTATAGAAGAGTAACTTTGTGGCTTGAGCGTCATCATCATGGATTACCCTGGAACTATGGGAATAGGTCATACGAGCAAGTTGAACAATTAGTGCAAAAGTGGGAAAATATTGGTAGAATTTATGTGAAAGGTGAAGAGAAAAAGGAGTGGTTGAAAAAAATTTCTGGTCCTATATAAGCATTGCTAGTAGTTAATATTGAAGAAATTTTCGATGATTGTCCATCACTAGTCAAATTCAAAGATTTACCATCTCGTACTTGTCCATTTCATAGTTATAGAGACGACAACAAGGCATGTGCCTTAAAAAATGTGGAGCTACTCAAAAACTGGATGATGAAGAAAAGAATAGTACGATCAGTAGATCGATCCTTCAATATTTACTACAAATTGAACAATTTAAATTTGATGGATTGTGAAGATATTGCATATCTGCCACATTCATTTATAAGTTTCATCGCTGCATGCCATGTTGATCAGTGTTGGGACAGTTTGACTGATGCTATGAGAGCTGATTGTTACATCAAAAGATGTAGACGTTGTTTGGAGCACTATCAGACTGTCGAGGGTGATACTTTTGATGGACCACCACCTATGATAAGGGATTGTATTAAATGTAATAATGCTCAAGAAAAAATATACACAAAAAACAACAAAATATGTTTCATTATTATATTTATTCATGTATTTCTTATATACTATTACATTAGTTATAATCATAAAAAGCATTGTGTAAAAAAAAATTGCCAATAAAGAAAAAAACGAAAATATTGTTCTATTTAATTTGTAAGTTAAGCAACAATCTCCTCGTCCTCTGCATGGAATTTGATTTCGTTGTATTCACCACCCAAATACTCCAACTTTGGTGCACCTTTCTTGATTTCATTCAGCAAATCTTCAAATTCTTTAGGATTATCAATGAAAAATTTTGATATCCTTCGGTTCAGGAAAACTGAATGAGCATTATTCAAATGGAGGATCACACTCATTCCATGCTTGGTTTTGCCTTTGGAGGCAGCTGTGATGGTGTATAAATAGTTGCGTTCCACTTCCGATATTTTCATCAAGAGAAGTTCTTTGAGCTCTGCAATAGTATTCATCACTTTGAAATTTGCTTTATCGGTTTTATTTTCAATTTTCACGTTTGAATCAGGTTTAGGCGAAGATTGTTGTATTTCCCACCTACATATTCCAACGTTGATGAGCCCTTTTCAATGTTGTTGGAAATTCTCGAACATCTTGGGATTTTCAGCGAAATACTCGGCCAGTCGATTATCCACGAAAACTCTGTGAGAATCTGAGAGATGAAGAATAACACAAATTCCATAAGTAGTATGGAAACTACTATGGTGCCCCCCACCTAAAGTCGATATGGCCCCACCACCACACCTGTCAGAGTAGCACGGCTCCGACGTGTGTGAGCGGTGGGGTACAGCGTGGCTGCGGGTGCGTCACCCGGGCGCGTATCCCAACCCCGAGCGGTTTCGGGAGAACCGCTGGTCCCTCGGCCACTAAATTAAAATTTGGGGGTCAAAAATTTTACCCCCCACCACCGCTTGTAAGTTGTAACATGATAAAAATCATGTACTGTTCCTCGCCTGAACTGAGCGCGGATCATGGGGGGAAAATTAGTCGTTTACCCCAGCGAGGAGTCGGATCACCCAGAGTCACAACTGTCAATTTATTTTTATTTTTGTTATTTGCNCGTATCCCAACCCCGAGCGGTTTCGGGAGAACCGCTGGTCCCTCGGCCACTAAATTAAAATTTGGGGGTCAAAAATTTTACCCCCCACCACCGCTTGTAAGTTGTAACATGATAAAAATCATGTACTGTTCCTCGCCTGAACTGAGCGCGGATCATGGGGGGAAAATTAGTCGTTTACCCCAGCGAGGAGTCGGATCACCCAGAGTCACAACTGTCAATTTATTTTTATTTTTGTTATTTGCCTATTTTCCTTCTTTCCATTCCCTCGAACTCTGTTGATCGCGCTCACCGTGGGTTATGTGAGCTTCGTGGCGAAGGGAGTTGAGCGGAGCCTCGGGGAGAGCTACAAGACGGCGCAATGGCTGAGGAGCAGCACACCGACGAGCACGCACACACCGGGGAGACTCACACCACGTAGGACGCGAAAGACGATCGTCGCACGCCAGCAGGCATCTCAGGCCTCTACGTGCGAACCCCCACCACCTCACCGATGGAACGGCGGCACAAGGCCGCTCAGTAAAAAACCGATGCTACAACACTGAGGGAGCATCGGATTATGTTGACTCCTGCGCCGCTCAACGCAGATCATATCCACCGACCGCGAGGCGCAAGTCCCAGCTTCTGGGACTAAGGATTTTAGAATGAAAACCATTGTAAAAATACTCAAATTGTCGAATCCCCTGGATTTCGCGCTCTATCACGTGATCGGGTGGGGGAAGGAGAAATTGAGGGGTTCCTCGGGGTGATGTACGGCCCCGACGAACACTCTTCGCTGGGATTTATTCCGATAAGGTCGCTCTGCGCCATTTAAGTTTTCTTTCGCTCTCCGAGCTATTTGACCGATCAAAAGCAAAGTACGTGGTGGTGTTGTGCCCATTTGTTCCGGCTTTATTTTCCGACGTCGCTGTACGGAGGGTGCAGACGAGTCTGCCTGGTATAGTGTTTCTCGATCTTCCAAAAAAGATCGATTTTTCGGATCGATCCGAATCGGCTCATAGAGGATCGATTCTAGATCGGATCGAGCCCTAAAAAATCGATCCATAGAAGATCGATCTTTCGATTTTTTCTCCTGCTATCTCCCCCAAAATAAATAAAAAATCACAATAAATTATCTTTTCAAGTTTGAAGGAGTATGAAAAAATCTACAAAAAAACCTTTCATTTGGAAGCAAGAATAAAACATCAATATCGAGGAACAGACATAAAACGAAGATTTATTGAGTACAATATCTATCGTAAACAAATGGAACAAAAATGAAACTTGGAAGAAAAATGAGACAAAAATGAAATTTGGATACTTATTCCATCCAGTATCAGATGAAAAAAAAATTGAACTTATCATATCATATCTATATTTCACAAACGAAAGTACTCAGTTACCCTCATATGAATAATTTGTAATATCCGTCTTAAATAATTTTCAAATTTTTATAAATTTCCCATACTCAAAATAAATTGTTATTTTATTCCTAAAACACGTTAAAACGCCCGAACGCTAAGTTAAAAGTGCTGAATGGCAAAGGTCATCAGCCCCGGAATTTCGATGGCAACACGTCGATTGAACGTCCAAAGAAATTTTCCCTTAATCCGCAAAATTTACAAAACCACGTGACCCTCATGCTGCCTCAAAATTCTTCCCCCAACTACAAATTTCACTCCCACCAAAACCCCGGCCAACGCCCTAATAAAATTCAACGGCTATGATTTTTAACAATCAAGCCTCAGTCGCGAATAACCTGCGGAAACCTTCAGTTTCCCTAACTAACCGTCTTAATAACCGAATTAATTCTCGTTCTTCTAACAAAATCGGACCACAGTCACGGCTCCGGATTTTGGGTTAAACTATATAGCGTGAGGAACGTGTCGAAACATTGACTTCCAAAACGTGTTTTTCCCTTCGTAATCCCGGTGGTTCCAATACGCGTTCGATCGCCGCCTGCCCTCCGACGAAGTTCAGGATTGGTCGTTATTTAGACAAAAACCTAAAATTCTAACAATAGAGTTTTGCGCTACGACATTTGGCGCCGGATTCTCTGAACGATTTCACACGGCATTTTCTATAGAGCATTCGCGGCCCCAAACGTTCTAAGACTTTGTGCGTGTCGTAAATTAGTTTAAATATCCGTTACAAACATTCTTGACAAGTGATACTACTAACATCCTAATTCGTTATAGAGAATTTACATCATATTCTGTATAGCCGCGTTATTTAAACCGCAGTGAATGTTTGCCAAAACATTGGTCTTCACCGCTTAAATTAAAATCAATTAAAATTCAGATAAGAATTAAAAATCAATAATAGCTTAAAATCACGTATAAATTACGGATCTAATCAAAACTTAAAACCACATCAACCGAGACGTTGGATTAACAAACTGTAAAATCCAACGCACCAACTGTAAGTAAAACAGCCAAATAAAACTGTCAACTTTCCTTTAATTTCACCAAAAATTTTCTGTATTCAATTTAAAATCATTCTGCTCATAAAGCAAACCATTTCAAATTATCTCTGAATACAGTGTTAACTTTTATAAATTTGTAAAATAATACAAAAGTCTAAATTGTAAAACAAAAGGATCAAGAATATAGAAAAGGTACATTTCAGCATAAATTTCGTCTATTCAATTTCTTTCCAAAACTCCCTAATTTCTCATAAATTCCCTCGCATCTCAAAACGAGAGAATAGAAATTAGGTTTAAGGTAATAAAGGTCACCTGAATAAAATCAAGAAAAACTACTCAACATTTCGGGAACGAGTCTATGAGCATCACTCTGACTCAAACTATTTTTGATATTGGGACTTCGGAGGCGTAATTTGATTTTTAAATTAAACGTGGTGTCCCGACCACTTAGTTCCGGACATAACAAATTCAACATTATTATGATTCTAACTTCATTTAAACTACAGAACATCAGAGAATTTGTGAAATAGAAGAAATCTTACTAACCACAGTACTTGAGATCGATTATATTCAACACCCCAATAAATATCACTCCACATCAATTATAAAACATCACAGCATTCCTCCGATGAAAGGATAATCTACTCACCAATAAAAATACTTTCAATCATTCACCATTATTCTAATTATAACTTCGTATAAATCTCACGAACTCAAGTGACTCAGCTTCATGACAGTATAAATTATTTAACATTATGATGATTTTTACTTTTTATAAATATTAATACGTTATAGAATTTGTGCGATGAGGAAAAAACAAAACGAACAATAGTCTTTTATGATAGGTGCCAATTCTGGCGATCAAGGGATTTCAGGAAAATCAGATTTGAGAGATGCTCTGCACTCAAACGATTCCGTTTTTCTGTGATGATATTCGAGGCCAATGAGAAGAGTCTTTCACAAGGTACTGATATGGCAACTGTTGACAAATATTTCAGGGCAATGCGTCCTAATGCTGGTGTGTTTTCTTTGTGATGCATCCAAAAATTTATTGGATCAATATTCATCAGATTAGGCTTGTTCAGGAACTGCATCATGTCAATATTCAAATCGTCTGAAGAAGCCTCTTGAGCGTATCTTTTCTGATGAAGAATCCTATCTCGATGGTGCGTCCACAAATCATCACTGCTATTGGTAGCCTCAGATTCGTCATTAGTAATAGACTCGTCCTCAGGAGCATTAGTTTCAGCTGATATCATACTATGCACCGTTCTCAGCAGACTGGAGCACATCAAAGGAGAAGGAAAGTACATTCTTTTGTACCGTGGATCCAGTAGAGTAGCAATGGTCAAAAAGGGCAGTTTGTCTAGGTCAGAGAATTTTTTATCCAGCTCTGCCATTAGCTCTTTTTGAAGATTCTTCCCCACCGATGTTTCGTTCTGCACTACCGCCAGACACTCCCTGAAGCAGAACATAGCAGGTATCACTCGACTAGTTGTCGCGTATTTGGCTCCACTGAATTCCTTTGTAAGGGTCTCTGCGTGTCTCAATACGTTAATAGCATCCCTCACGATGGCCATCTCGTCTGAATCTAACATAGGTGGAGAACCTCGTAATTTCAAGAGAATAGAACTGACGGTGGCTGATAATTTCTCGAAACGACACAGCATGTAAAATGTTGAATTCCAACGCGTGGGGACGTCTTGAACTAGACGCAAAGTGTTGTCATCATCCTGGGCCTTGCGAAGCTCGTCGGCAGCAGTGGTTGATCTCTTGCAATATGTCACAATCTCTTTAGTTTTAGTAACTATTGAACTCAGTGCCTTGTTTGCAGTGATAACATTAGAAATAGCTACATTCAATTTGTGGGCAAAGCACGTTATGTGCTTATGTTCCCCAAATGTATCTTTAACTGCTTTTATTATGTTTGTACCTCCATCAGTTACTACTGTTGTAATTTTGTCTTTGGAAATATTCCATTTCAACAGAAATTCTTCAAATATCTTGGAGAGATAGGGAGCTTTGCGATTCTCATCCAGCTCTATTGTATCTAATTCAATATATGACATTTTGCCATTCTCCAGAAAATGAATCGTTAGACCTAGAAATCCTCTTGTTGACATGGTCTCAGTCCATATATCGGTAGTTAAAGTCAAATTCTCTGCTTTGGCCAGTTTGCTCTTCACAATCCCACTCAGAACTTTGTAGTTTTCTTCTGTGGCTCTCGTTATCGATGTCTTCTTTGGTACTTCATAATTTGGAGCCACGATACTCATGAGATAACGAAACCCTTCCTTCTCCGTGGCCGATAGTGGCAAGTCATCTTTCGCGATCATATACACCATAGCATTCTTAATTTTAGCAGCTTGTGCTCCACCTTCTGAAATAATTCATAACACCATTTAATTTGGCATTCGTCTGGAAGAGAATAGACAATGGAATAAAATTCAGTCGCATTACACTGTGCTAGTTTTATCAATTGCTCATTTATCTCGCAAATTTATGATTTTATGATTTTTTCCAGGAAAGATACCCCATGCAATTTTCTCCGTGATTCAATCATTATCAAGATAATTCAATATTTGGAAAGATGTGAAAAATTAACTTGTATGTATTACAGATTCGATACTGACTTCATAGATCTATAAACCATAGCTTTGAATGCTGTAATTTTACCAAATGTTTTATCGATACGGGGCTGTGTGAGGGGATTCTCTGGAAGATTATGCATATTGTTAGACGGTCCTGAGGCTGAGTCGAACTCCTAGAACGATTATCAGTCATTATCGAATAAAAATCATTTTTGAAATCATCCATCTTCAGTCATTGTAATCATGTAATTGGGAATTACTTGTTGCTGATGTTCAGCCCGCGATGATGGACGTTCTGGAGATTGTTTGGATTTATCAGAATTATCAGTTGTTTTATTATTGTTGACTTCCTTTTGTTTCTAGAAGAAGAACGGATTTTATAGAATAAGTTGAAAAAAATTGACAACTTTGAATAAAAAATGAAAATATCAGAGATAGATTACTCGAGTTCGTGCAAGTGCATTCAAGGCATTGATGTCAGCGTTATTATGATGGTTAGTCAAGTATCTCATCAAGTTTGTAGTGTTCCCATGATTTTTGATGTCATTTAAACATAGACGACACTCTGCTCCACCTTTTGTTTTTATAAAAAAATTCCAAACACCACTTCTTTTAGGTTTCGACGGTTTCATTGGAATTTGTCTATTGTAGGAATGCAGCGAAATTTGAAGTCATGAAAAAGTATTTAACAGATATCGTTCACAATTGAAAAAGAGACAATGAAAATTATGAAAGTCCATTAACCCACCGATTTCCTTTCATTTCCACATGAGGAGTGCCTGATCGTGCCTTAGGAGGATTTATACCTATCATGCATGAATTGAGGATTCAATGGTGATACGTTATTGAGTTAATTAGGCAATTAAAATGAAAATCTAATGATACGTACTTTCTTTGGATAGTTTACTGAGGTCGTTACCACTGAACTTGAATCGTTGTAGTTTTATTGCATAATTTTCAGGAGTTTTTGGATGCTGCTGATGGGAACTAGTATTGAAAAGGAGTTCATCACGTTTGTCATTGTTGGGTTCGACCGAGGAATTTTTCGATATTGAGGGCTGGGCTTGGACATTTGTGTCTTTCTGTACTTTACTGGCTGGAATGTGTTGTTCATCAGATATATTCACGTGTGCTGCATCATCTTCCAAGTCGTCCTCATTTGCATAATTGCATATCTCCACGCTGAAACATGCATACATTTTTGAAACATTTATAGTTTATTTCCCAATTTGCAACAGGTCAATTAACATTCGTGGATAACATAAGAGTCGTTGTTATGCAAACTGATTCTTAGCAGCCAAAACCTCTATTACTCACTAATTTATGCCGCAATTAGTACTCATATCAATCTGATCGATCCTTCCATCATCTAAGGTAATGCTTCCATCTCTGATCAGCTCCATACAGAAATCTACGGCGTCAGATTTATTTTCTGTGAGAAAAAAAATGATTTTACTTTTCCAATTGCAAATATGCACAAATTGACGATTTTCCTGGATGTTAAACTCACGTGTTATCTTCATATAACTTTTGTAATCAACTCCATTGACAGAGAATGCATCCCCATGGTTGATACTGAAGTAAACATTGAATGATCTTTCAGAAGATCTTTCTGAAAAATAGTAATGATTATTGAGTCATTAAATATCCTCGAATTCCAAGATTTAGGGTGAGAATGCGGAGCAAAACCATTCAATATGATTCAATACGTATTTGAGGACATTTCTAGGTTAGTTTCACCGGTACATCGATCCAAGTGGCAATTTTTCAATTCATACGCTTTATTAGTATTTTTTTCATTGTTCCAACGATCTTAATAAATAATTGGATGAATAATATGGAATAACTTACTAGCTTTTATACACTTCATGATGGTAAAAACAGTTTAACATCAAACAAAACTCTGCTGACTCTCCTCTAGGTGACAAAACGCGCCAAAATATGCACGTTAAGATGGCGTTGGGGTTTGGGAAAGGTATAATGAGGGAAAAATTTGAAAAAGGGACGTTGACGTAAATAATCGATCACAAATATACAAAGTTGCAAGTGATAGGAGATATTTATTGTTAGATTTGTAATGTTAGGATATATTCATTCTTAGATTTGTAAAATCACACTGACAAATCAGTCGAGCTCAGTTGAGTTTTGTCATTGTTCCTCCTTCGATTTCAAGCCATCAAGCTCACAGGCTCACTGAAGAACGAGAAAAAATTATCATTTCAGAAATAATCTTATAAATCATCAGCAATTAATTCCAAACACTTACTAAGAAATCCCATCGATAGAACGATAGAATATTTCAATTTCATTATCAGTGTTTATCACGCGACCGCTGTCAATCAAATCACGAAGGAATTTTTCCACGAAACCTCTCTCATCTGAAATTATTTTTTAAATTGCATGATTCAATCATTTCGGATTTCATGTAAAATCATATTACAAATGATAAGGTCATACTCAATAGACGAAGATAAAGATTCAAATTCAATCCGTCAATTCGGTAAGGATCCTGCATGTTTATCTGGAGATAAATCGAGAAATTTCTCCTCGACCCTTGAGCATGTGCTGAAATTATGAAATGAAATTATTAATAAAATTTCTAGAGCATTTCGAAGTTGTATCAAATTTTTATTGCCACATACACACCTGTTACAGTAATATTTTCCATGATTACTTGTTCCAACAAGTTTCTCCCAGACAGATAATTACCTGATTTAGAGGTTAAAACCCTGATTTAGAGGTTAAAACACTATTCAGTATCACCTAGATTTTCGACCGTTTAGACTATATCTATCGAATGATGACGTAAATTTCTTAAGATTTTATTTTCATTAATGAAAGCTTCCGATTGTTCCACTTAATTTAATTTCTTTTAATTTTAGTTTTTTCGACGAGTGGAGACCAAACACTGATCAATCTCGAAAGAAAATGATCGATCCGACCACTTAATCGACTTAAAAGGATCGATCCGAAAAATCGAAGATCGACCCTTCATAAATCGATCTCAAGAAAGATCGATCCTTGATCGAGAAACACTAGCCTGGTGTTCTCGCGAAATCACGGTGAGCGTCTTATTTCGTTGTGAGTGCACGCGTCCTTCCAGTAGTGAATCCACTCAGGCACCCATTTTGGGGCCGTTTGAGAATGTACTAGAGTCTGCTTGTGATGCGGCACTCTGTAGCCTCCAGCTACCTCTTAATTTCATTTTTTTTATTAGTTTCTCTACTTGAGTTTTATTATAAATTTTTTTTGTGGGGAAAACTAGTCCTAACTCATCTGTTACGTCGACCTTTCCCAATAACTTTTGTGTCGTGGCTCTCGCGTCGTCGTCGCTTGCGGGTGGTCCTCGCGTCTTAGCGTCTCCCACGCACCTTTAAAGTTATTATTATTTATTTTTGTTAATTAGTATCACTAGGTTAATTACATTTTTTTTGGTTTGTATAACGTCTTTGCTCGCGGGAGTCCTCTCCCGCACGTGTAAAAGATTAGACTGAACTCATTGGATTAAAATTATATATTTTTTTGTTTTGTAAAAGTTTGCATATTGTTGAGTTCCGCTCATTGTAGCCTGTTCCCACACGCCTCCGCGGTTATCTGAGCTAGTCGTGGAACGCGGCTCAACGGTGTGACCTTGTCCTTTGGCGGTTAAAAGGACTAGCGCCCTTTTTGGCATTTTGGTTTCCTCTCGTTATTCCCGTCGTTCTAAGTCCGGGTTGAGAGAGTCCAAAAGGGTCGCTGAAAGTTCGTGGAGAACCACGCGTCTGAATCCCGCAGACGCGCTTGGAAAAATACCTCACAAAGTATAGGACCCCACCACCACATCGATCGGAATAGCGCGGCTCCGACGTGTGTGCGCGGTGAGGGGACTGCGTATACTGAGGACGAGTACCCCAACCCCGAGCGGTTTTGGGGGAACCACTGGTCCCTCGGCCGCGATACTAAAATTTGGGGGTGAAAAATATTGGCCCCCTCCNGCCGCGATACTAAAATTTGGGGGTCAAAAATATTGGCCCCCTCCATCACTAATATATTTAGGGACCCACCATCGCACCGATCGGAATAACGCGGCTGTGACGTGTGTGAGCGGAGGGGGTAAAACGTGTAGTGCGGACGCGTATCCCAATCCCGAGTGGTTTTGAGGAACCGTTGACCCTCAGGCCTCAATATTTAGCGAAAATTCGGGGGGTCAAAATTTTTCGAACTGAAAGACCATACCGGTGCTCCGATAAAATCCGCGAAAACCGTAAACATATTAAAAAAATACTTTACTTGTCACTGCACTCTCCTCACAGGGCTCCGAAAAATCCGAAAATCGTCATTGATAACCTTATGCATTAAATCTAAATGTCACTAAACCACTAGCACTGTGGGTCCATAGGCACTGGAGAGAAACGTCAACACTACCACTCCCTGTTCAATAGTTCTTCTATGTCCCTCTCCTCATCGGACTCCCCGAACAGCGACACCTGGGCCAACTCCTCGTCCTCGGCGTCCCAATCGTCGCGCTCGCGACGCTCCTCTTCCAACCAGCTAACCAGGCGATCCTGGGTGTAATCGGCTGGCTCGATAAGCATCGGGAATGGTCCATCCCTCTGCCACCATCCCAGCTGGGGTGATCCACTGGGACCCCGGTGCCGAGTATCATTCTCCAGATGCTCAGCTGAGAGAATGAGAGGTTGCTCTACCCGGAGAGTCCAACGGCGGTCCGGGAATCAGGGGTCCAGCCCGTCATACCCGTCCCGCAACTCGTACGGGTCCGGGTCTGCCTCGATAGCGATGGGGTCTCTGTTGAACCCCCTGATCAGGGTGGACCAATCATGGTCATCAGTGACCGAGCATGATGACGACGTGTCCGAGGCGGGTGTGGCGGGGCGCGATGGTTTTGGGATATACCCGCTGGTGGATGGTGTCAGCTCGTCCTGGGGGGTGACGGTGCTAGTGGGGGGTACAAAGTTTTTCCACGTCACACGCATGATTACGCGCACACGTCACAAAAAAAATACCCACTCTATCACACACACACACACAATAATCCAAATGTTTGACGATAATTGAGATCTTGTCACGGCCGCGCTTCACTGAGGATTGAAAAAAATGATTATNCCGGCGGTCCGGGAATCAGGGGTTCAGCCCGTCATACCCGTCCCGCAACTCGTACGGGTCTGGGTCTGCCTCGATGGCGATGGGGTCTCTGTTGAACCCCCTGATCAGGGTGGACCAATCATGGTCATCAGTGACCGAGCATGATGACGACGTGTCCGAGGCGGGTGTGGCGGGGCGCGATGGTTTTGGGATATACCCGCTGGTGGATGGTGTCAGCTCGTCCTGGGGGGTGACGGTGCTAGTGGGGGGTACAAAGTTTTTCCACGTCACACGCATGATTACGCGCACACGTCACAAAAAAAATACCCACTCTATCACACACACACACACAATAATCCAAATGTTTGACGATAATTGAGATCTTGTCACGGCCGCGCTTCACTGAGGATTGAAAAAAATGATTATATGGTTTGGGGAGACAGCCGTTGAGTTGGTTGCTCACCCTGGAACAGTGTGCTGACCATGCGGTTTTGCACGTGCACTCTGTGACATCTTCTCCACCGTAACCCACACTAGCTCTCGAAGGTTAGACTAGCCGTCTCCACATGTGCTTACTTTGCAAATCTGACATCTGCAGAGACCAGTTGATACCATTCTCTTTCTTATAAGAATATTCTCATCATTTAATTTTAACAACTTTATTTCTCATCAAGTCGATGATTAACAATCGCGTAAAAATGTAAATAGCTATTTCCCATGGTTGATATATCTAAATACACAGAACAAATTATTACAGTCTAAAAATAAAATGATATACATTATAATTGGTAATTATTGTGACACGGAGAGAGCTTGGGCATTTTTCGAGGCCTGCCGCGCCTCCTCTTCGCTGCATCCTCAGATGTCACCGGCCACACCCTCTTCAAAGGCGGTGGTGAGAATGTACGCTCCCTCTCTAGCTCCTCTTCCAGACCCCTGACGCATGACGCACACCTTTCCCTTGGTGCACACCGTCTCAATTTTGGCAGTTTGAAGTCAAGAGTCTGTTGCTTGGTGAGGCGTGGTAAAGAAACCCAGCACGATTTCACACAGGGCAAATCAATAGGACATTCATCTGCAAAATAAACGTACAATCATGAATCACTTTCACGGATTTCTCTCCAAACTTTTGAACCTTACCATTCCCAATCGCTAACCGATGATCCTCGATCTCATCTACCCCTTCACGTATGACGTCACCGTCATAATACTCGATTTCATACGCTTCTCCGGTATTACCGCACGGCCCGTTATCATGCACGACGGTATTCAGCCTTCTTTCTCCAATTTCACTTTAGCTATGGAGCATGAACGCACAGCCACGCGGGTATTGGAAATTTTTGCCAATCACACGCATTTTTCAAGGGTAGTATGGGAACAATTACTCTATATTGTCCCTTATATCACGTCTTAACTCCCGAATCAAAGCCTTTAAACCTGCCTTTCGTATCGAATAGTGTTCCGTCACACGTAATATGTGTTCACGACCGCTGTTAAGGGCTCTTCCAAGTTCCTCCACTACCACTTCAATAGGTGCGTCCTCGTTATTAAACCGAAAATTCCACTTTTTTGTCGTTGAGTCAGCCTCGCATTGCTCAACCATACACCTTCCTCTTCTTCGTAGCCTCAAAGATCTCCGTGTTGTCTCCAAATCCATAAAAAAAAAAGTGACAGGCAGAGAACAGTATACCACCGAATCTGATGAACGTCTAAATGGCCGACATACGCGAAGACGTCTCTTAGTATCACGAGTTCTTCACATTTGAGGTGTCAGCAAAAACGTGTCAATTGTTTTCTCTATCTTTCAATCCACGTAAACAGAAAAAGTGATATACCTATGCATCATCACCCACGACAAATGTAATGAAGACGCTGAGAGGACGCATGGGAGGTTTGGATAGTGAATATACTACAGGCAAAAACATTTTTCTACATATATATACCCATTTATTACAGAATCAGTTTTTATGGATGACGTATATATAATTACATTTCTTTATATATGAAACAAACAAAACTGACAGCTAATGAATCATAAGAAGGCACAAGCGTATAACTCTATCCGTGAATCACCGATTGTGATTTTCGACGGTTTTCAATTGCTGATCCATGCACCACGTGTTCTAAAAGTTGCAGTTTTGTGTTTGATCCGAAGGACATATTTAGAAAACTGATATGCTATTGCGACTCTTTCGAAGCCTTATATTTCTGCGAATATTCGTTTGAATTCGTCACTCGTAGTTTTCACGTCTGAAAGAGAGCATCATACGAAACGG